GACATGAAGAATGTTATTGTGCTAATGATTCCCCATGAGTTTCCTATTTATGCCTATTCCTAGGTGTTTTATAAAACACCACCTCTCTGTGGGATCACAGTGAAAAAAAACATTATTTTAGAATTTTCAGCAGTGTTCAGTTTCTAAGAATCAAAGCAATAAAATTATCAAGTTTTCGCTGCAAGCCTTTTAAGAATTAGCTGGCCTAATTAAGTTTCATACAAATACATTAAAAAAAATAAAAAGAAAACAAACAAGAAGTGTTGAGAGACTGGCTGGAGAGTTTATAAGTGAAGTGACTTCCACTATGTGATATACGTCTGCCTGATAAAACATGTTTCAAAGCTCCTTTGGAGAATTCCTCCGTGCTGCTCGCTGCTGAGTCAGGATTGGAATTCTCATGCAATATCCTTTGATACTTCAATCCAAACAGTTAATTATAAAGATAAGAGACATCATCAAAGTTAAGCAGTTGTAGACCAAAGTGCATTACTACAGGTAAATTACTAAGGTGTTTTTTTTTAATCTGATGAAGCCTGAAATACACAATGTTTTACAAAACCTACAAAAACAATCAGGAAAATAAAACTTATAAAAGCAAATTTATTTTAGCTATTTTCCAGCTGACACAATTTTATGTTACCAGAGTCCTTTAAAAAAACATGTATACAAGCCTAATACAAAAAGAACTCAGTAAGTGCATTCCAAAACTGAGGTTCCTCTACCACTAGTGATACAAGAGCCATTTCAAAGTGGCATGAAAAAAACCCCAATTATGTCGTTTCCCAAGAGCAGACAGTTAACATCTATTTGGTGAGAGAATACTGTCCAAATTATCAAATGCCTTTCCCTGTGCACAGACCAACACAGGGAAGGGGAGGGTAGAGTTAATGGCCCACATCCCTTTGGACAGGCCATCAAAGAGCCAAAAGCTGTTGCCAGCTCCCCAGAATGGTAAAGTACACTTTTTCTTTGTATGTTGGTGGTGCACAAGCAAACCAAAGTTTGGAAATTCCTGATTTTTTGGATTCAGAATGAAAACCACAAAAGCCCAGAAACTTATCTCATCATCTGATGTTATGGTTTCAAATCTACATCAGAAGATACTGATCCCATGGCTTTCAGTTGTTTACATACTGAAATGATTTGACACTATGCTGTCTCTTCTGTTCTGCCTTTTCTTCAAACTTTGTATTTTAAAGTTTAAAATATGTATAGTGATGCTTAGTCTGAGTATACAGACTAGGCATACTTTCCTAGAATGAGCCTTCATACAGATGTTTGTTCAGTAACAGATAAGAACGAGTAACTGATGTTTCAGTTAGACACCATACAGTAAATAATATTATTTAGCACTTTTCATCTCCAAGTACACATACACAACCAAAATAGCAGAAACAAAACAGCAGACTTCTTGTAATTAGGCAGGAGTATTGCCCAATACTGCAAATTGGGAAACTGAGGCAAAGAGAACACTGGAAGCACCTGGAAGCCCTCTGTGTGTTACTCTGACGAACTTCAAAGGACTTAACAGGTAATGGCATTAATAAACACTTTAAGTAAACACCACTGCATGCGCTATAACTGTGGCTGGCATCTCCAGGATGCTTTAAAAAATTGATTAGTGCTACACTGGACAGCTGAGTCATCAATGCCCGTCCTTCCACTAGGACAAGAGGATATCTTGTAAGCAGGTTATTTATATTCTTAATAACTGCAGCAGGAAGTACAGTCTGGTTAGGTTTGGTAGTCATTAAATAGCACTTTTTTTGTATGTGCTGCCCTTCCTCTATAGATTTCTTCGCAGAGCAACCTCAGTCTTAAGTAAGAGCAATTACAAACAGGCCAACCTCTTTTAACCTGAAAGAAGAAAGACAACCTCAAATCACGCATAGCGCAAAGGTTTGTTTTGCCCGCAAGCAAGACCAAGCCTCCACATTAAAGCTCTGTGTATGAAGTATCACTAGTTTATCCTGCTTGGGGGTAACAGAAAACTGGAATCCAAAGGGTTGTTTTCTTTTTTAATAAAATGTGCAGGTGGTCTTGGACTTGCCAAGATACAATATTTTTTTAAAGAGCTGAACAGACCTTGCTTCCTTTTCAGTCTCTCTCTCAATTCCACAACATAATAATCGTGATCATCAACCCAGGGCATATTATTAAATTAGTTTTTATCCCTGCTGTGCGTTTTGAGAGAGACTGTTGGAACATATTACCCCCAGTGTATTGTGTGCTCTCAGATCCTATCCCGTATTGTCATGTCTGCAAATATTTACAAAGCATAAAATACTGTCTCACTCAGCAATGCAACCCACATGTCTTTAATGCTATTCCATATCAGTGCTTCAGACCAAAACAAGACACAAACACCACTGAAAATTATAAAAACCAGAAATACTTTTAGTGGCCTACAGCCAACTTTGGTCTAAACACTTTGCTTGTGAGCTTGTCACATGCATGCAACATTGGGAATACAGCTCATAACCTTTGGCTGCACAAATACAGACCTTTAGTCAACAAACTCAAGCAACACTTTGGTTCATTTAAGTAAAATCAGGCCAGTCAGCTTCAGATGTGCTTTAGATGTTGTGACCTGATGCCCAGCTCCACCGACCATACCAGAACACACTGTCCTTTGCAGAGAAAAAGCAAGAGGATTCCGAAGCACAAGGAAAGAGCAAGGCTGCAGCGTGCTAGGGGTCTGCATGTGGTCTTCCTACAAATGTGCTACCTCCTCAGTACATGGATAACATCCGCTAAAGCACTGCAGAGGTGTCTGACTTCGGCGTGAGTGCGTTTCACTATGTCTGTAGGCTGCAGGCCTGACTAGCATATGGCCCAGGAAGGGTCAAAGGTGGCACATAATATCATACAGATCTGCCGCTTTCAAACAGCCCCGGTACCAGTCCACCCCGGTACCCAGAAGGTACAGCCACTACAAGTTGTGGAAGATAATTTTAAAGGTACAAAGCTTAATCACAACGTTAAATGATCACAACTAGGAAAAGAGCAATTAACTAATCATTTCCCATAAGCTTGTTCTCTTCATCACTCCAAGAAGCAATGTCACCACAGGAAGCCTTCACCCATCACACTGCCAGCAAGCTGAAAACTTTATTTATATTCGGGGTTACTGATGTCTTCACTGACTTTACAGAGAAGATCAGAGTAAAGCACATTTTAAAGTTCTAAGTACACCACTGCAGTTTTCCACAAAAAAGCTTGTTTGGAGTTTGACTTGGAAGGAAGCTGGCTTAGCTTAGTTCAGAGATGGTCTCAGTTCTTCTATGAGTTTAAGATGGCAGGCTAACAAGTCATGAAGCTTGATAAAATACACAATAGTTTTAAAGGATGAAACAAATAATGGATGGATGCTTTTATTACAAGCACATACATTTTTTCTTCGATTAAATTTGACTTCTGAGACAGAAGGAACTGCAATTCTGTCTTGTTTCCAGACTCACTATCTCAATTCTAAGAAAAAGCCTCTTAACCTTCTCTATGCCTTCTTTCAGTGACTAGGAAAGGCATACAAAAGATTATTAAGCTCAATATGGCTCCAAAGATGAAACAAAAACATCTTCCTAAATCAATTGTATACCCATTACACACATTGTATACATGCTGAAAAATAAACACTGGCAAATGCAGAGTACAATCTTGGAGATGGCTCAAGTGACTGGCTTTTTAAAAAGGGTTTATAAAATGTATAAATTCTGGCAACTGGAAGACATTAACTTGACGACTGAACTGAACTCTGTTCATTTTCCCGGAGAACATCCTGCATTTCACTCTACAGGAAGGAACACCACAACGTGCAAAAGCAGGTCCTCCCACGTGAAGCTGGAACTCAACAGGCTGCTCCCCAACGAGAGGCTCATCGCCCTTCCCAAACCAAAGACCTGGTTTTCTTTATCTTTAATCACGAACAAGCAGATTCCCAAGGTGAATTTCAGTGGTGCTGTTTTTCAGCAGCCTCCACAGTCATTCACCACGGGACCACAGCACATGGCCGCGCTGGCCGCTCTCTCAAGGCGCTTGCGTCCTGCGCAGCTGCGCTGCAGACCCTCGACAGCACCTCAGCTGTCGAGGATATCCTCTGCCGGTGGCTCGCAGCGGGAAGCGCGCCAAAGTTCAAACACGAAGACTGAAACCACCCTCCCTACCAGGCGGGCAGTGTCCGAACGTCCGCAGCCGCCCTCCTTGGTGCCCACCATCACTGGGCATCCTGCTCCTCCTGCCAACGGTGCGGCTGGCACAAGGGACGAGGCCGCTCCTCGCGGGGCGCGGCTCAGCAGAGCCGGGCGAACACCCAGCCCTGGGCCCAGGCCCTCCCGCCAAGGCAGCCCTCCACCAGGACGGCACCCCGAGAGCCGTTACAGGAGCCGAAAGCGGCGAAAGGCCGCAGCGGGGCCGGGACAGGCGCCGCGCTCCCGCCGAGCACCCCTGAGGCGACGGCGGAGCCGCCCGTCTGCCCTCACGCGCCCGCCAC